ATCACCGTCAAAGCTGCAGCACCCATGGAACTTCTTACATCTGTTGATGTAAGAGAAGTCAATGACTGTGTGTGTCATGTGGATGTTCTAAGAATGTAGTATCCATTGCAAGTGTGAAGCACAATGCCAAAACACTTCTAGCATCATTGATGACGAAGAACCTGACTGATTGATATAGAAGATGTTCACTTGTATTATGTGACTTTTGTACTTAATAATATCCATAATAAACTTAGTGTGCTGTTTAGTGTTTATTCTGTTACTGTATGTCTTTTTAGAAAATTGTCAGCTTTAAAATATATGTAGTTCTATTCTGAGTGTTTATCATATATTTGGCAAAGGGTTAGGGTTTGCAAATGGAATTTGATCTTATTTTAAATTCTGGAATTATTATTCTCTCTTCTTTCTTGTTTTGTCCTCCATGGAGGAACATTTTGTTATTTCCAAAAACAATTCATGTCCATATATTCCAAAACTTAATTATATAACTGACGTTTTCAAGGATATCACATGCATGTATTTTGACTTGTCTCAAAAATTACTTCCCCACATGTGAACTTATGGGAATTTTTTCACGTAATATTGACATCACACAGAAGTCCTTCGAACAAAAATTTGGTTGTTATGGAAAATGTATGGGTCCATGTCAGTTTGTACTGGGCTATTATGGGTTAGTTATTTCTAAAGCGACGTTTATAAAATGGCAGCATCAAGTTAGACTTACGTGACACCTTGTGTAAAACCACAACATTGTAGTTTATTTGCATCAAGTTGCTACTGACAGACTTGGGATAGTCAGTATTCTAGTATTTGATAAGTTTGGCGTACGTGATGCTAGTGTATAAACGGGACAAAGTAGTTTTAATCAGTGGGTCGAGGTTGTGAATTTTACAAAATATTGACATTTCTGAAGTGAAATTGCTGGTATAATATTTCATGAGAAAGACAACTAAACTATCAAAACATTTATGTTGCACATTTGGATTATTTCTCACTTTTTGAACCCCTCCACCCAACTTCATTATCATAAAACTTGCGTATTTTGACAGGACTGATCTAGACAAGATGAATTTAAGTCCCTGACGTTCTTGGGCCCGGCATGGCCAGGTGGTTAAGGCGCTTGACTCGCAATCTGAGGGTCGCGGTTCGAATCCCCGTCACACCAAACATGCTCGCCCTTTCAGCCATGGGGGCGTTATAATGTGACGATCGTGACGATTCGTTGGTAAAAGAGTAGCCCAAGAGTTGGCGGTGGATGGTGATGACTAGCTGCCTTCCCTCTAGTCTTACACTGCACAATTAGGGACGGCTAGCGCAGATAGCCCTCGTGTAGCTTTGCGCAAAATTAAAAAACAAACAAACAAACTGACGATCTTAACTGTGTGATAAATTAGACTAACAAGGATATGCGCCTTATACCTTGTTATCCGCCCTAAAAATATTTACCTTTGGCATGTTAACAGAATGTCCCACTTTTTCAAGGACTTTTTGTTTAATAGAACACTTTCATGCACAGCCCTGCAACATGCTTCTTCCCTTCTTTTGAAAACTAGGTGACGCCAATGAATGCTATTTATTACAAGTAATACAAAACATTTTGTAAAATGTAAAATGAATTAGGGATTGTAGTGCCAAAAAAAATGCGAACAAGAATAAAAGGATGATACAGCTATATATAGAAATCACCTCTAGATGACTTTGAGTACTAAAATTTAATGTTAATTTAAAGTGCACGAGTACAAAATGGTACGAGGTCGGTCAATTTGAAAGTCATGTAGGAATGATCTATCTATAGTCTATCATTCCTATATTCGTGTTTGCATTCTTTTTGACACTGCCAACTATACATCATTTTACATTTACAAAATGTATTTTACTACACGTTTTGTGACGTTTCTTTTCACTGACAGAAAGTTAATGTATCCTATGAATGTGTATAATAAAATTTAATATTATGTGTAATGATTTTTTTTTCTCCTTCACTTCATACATAATATAAGGGGTTGGCTCCCTAAAGACACCGATTGTGTAGTGTACAAAGCATTGAGTATTCTACATGTTACAGTCATCTAATGTTCATCTATTTTGGCTAGTAATTCCTGTTTCACCCAGTACTTAAGCTTTTTAATGGAACACCAGGTTTCTGTGAAAAAGCTAACTTCAAGGGGTAATGATGATATCGTTTACACTAGAATTATGATTTTTTGTAATTACTATTAGTTATAACGACTAAATGATGACGTCGTGTACTGCTGAGAGACACATAGAGTAAATTTAGGTTTAAACTAACGTTAGTGATAAAGTGGTTGTATAGTTATCTGGACTGAAACAACAACAAGAAAGATGAAGAGTTTGGTTGGTTGGTCTCTTTCTGATTTGGTATCTTAATGATGGTTTCTTGCCTTGTTTGGGGGCTTGTTGGGTAGAGAAACAAATGAAAGTGAGTGGCAATAACCTTTTAAAGTAAAAATGTCTGTTGATTTTTAGCGTGAATATTTCTATTATGCCTATTGAGTACCTTAGCCATCCCAACACATAGAGTTTACCGACTCTATGATAATAGCTAGTATGCGTCGGGACCCGAAATTCACGTTATTATGGGTTAGGCTTCATTATATTCGCGTAAGTTGTTAATGAACAGAGATAGAAATTAATTCTTTCGCCAAAATGTAGTTCGGATTTAGCTAAATCTAGAAATACATATTTCATGCACTTCTCTCTCGGTTATATATCTGAACATGTTGTAAATTATGAGGAGTTAGAAAATTTGCTAAAAATGAAAGGATTTGTATCTCATTTTGACATGAAGTGTGCAGGTTTAATACCGCAACACATAATATCCAGTTGATATTACATTTTCTTCTGACATTATGATAAAACCAATGATTTTTTTTTCAAAATATCTTTGTTTAACAATTTACTGATATTAAACTAACAATGGTGTCAAAGCTTGCAACTCCGTGCAATTTACTTTATTGCTTACAGTTTGTCCATTAAGTCTATTTGACAGGCTCGCAGATATTTGCCATAATCAATATCTAGTGGTTGATTTGTCTTACAAAGGCCCCCCAGTGGCACAGCGGCATGTCTGCGAACTTACAACGCCAGAAACCGGTTTTTGATACCCATGGTGGGCAGAACACAAATAGCCCTTTGTGTAGCTTTGTGCTTAATTACAAACAAACCGCTTACAAAGGAAAACAGGATTAATTTGTGCAGATTCTATACATCTGCTCCAACTGTTCAAAGTGTATCCTGTCACCTATTAAACCAGAAAAGAAAGAGCGCTCCATTTAAAGTCACGTTGTCATCATACAGTGTTGGTACAAGTTAGTATCCAGTGAAAGAGTTTTGCTACACTTGAGTCAGCTGCTCTCACAACCTCGGATTTCAGCAAGTTCTTATTGCATAGGACTTATACGTTGTCCAGTTTAGTAGCAGCTTCAGCACATTCTGTATTTCTAAAGATAGAAAGTAATACTTTTTTGAGAGGTCTTGCATTAAGAGGATAGGTATTAAATCCTTACAGCAAAGATGTAAGTGACGTACTTTTTCTCAAATTTCAAAAACTACACCATTTATCTTACTAAACCCCTGAGAAAATTATTCAGAACTGTATAGTTTTACAACTTATATTACCTCAGTTATATTTTGTCGAAAAATATGCCACCTTACTCTTCTTGCTTACTGTCGCATTTTTTCCATTTCTACATTCTTAGCCTAAAACCGAGCTAAAATTGTACAAAACTGTATATTTTTTAATCTGATAAATATTTCAGTCACATACAAATAATAGTGGTCCATCTATTTGTATTTAATAACAATTTATGAAAATATAATGAACCCCAACACATATTTGTATAAAAATTCATGTTTTACACCATACTAGTGTGAAGAAAAAGGCACCCAAACAAAATCCAAATTGAAAGTATCATACACACGTGATTGAAAGTCTGTACCCCAAAGAGCTAGAGATTCTAAGGGAGTTGCATCTACCCTGGGAGGCTGTGTTAGACCGACCAACGTACGTTAATCATGTAACCATACGGTGGACTCACAATGATGTCAGTTTTGTTATTGCTTAATAGGCACAATATCAGGTTTCTGACAGCTCGGATGCTACCCTTCTTATCCATGTCGGGCGCAGCACAGATAGCCCATTGTGTAGCTTTGTACTTGACAACAACAAAAGAAAACAAGAGCTACCCCTTCTCAAACATAAATTCAAACAGTTTAGTGAAGAATTTATCTCATTTTTCCATACCACAGATTTTGGTCCCCTGGCTATTTACTAGTTTCGTAACATTGACGAGACATACTACACTCGTGGCAATCAGTGTCCTGTTGTTTATCAAATTAGGCTTACATGAAGCTAGTCTAAAAATAGGACAAAAGTAGTTTACTAGCAGGAAATTTCCCCATTATGACAAGATTTGCTGGACTTTGGCATTTAGTATTCTGGTTTGTGAAGTTGGGCTTACGTAATGCTAGTTTAGAAACAGAACAAAGTAGTAATTTACTAACAACAAGTTTCACACAGGTGTAGACTGACATTTTGTATCATTACTTCTTTTTGCGTCTTAAGTTATTACACGTAATTATCTATATCCAAATTTGATGTTTTTTGACTAGTTAAATAATTAAAACTTCCACTGCAATGAAAGCAACAACAACATCTTTATCAAAATGGTAGGTTTTTGAATACCTACCGTGTTTCTCTCGTGAGGTTGATATTGAATGTAATAAGGTAACATCACAGTTTAGGACTGTGATATACCCGTAGAACTTATGAATGTCTGTACAATATTCATCTGTTAATCGTTTCCTTATTTGAGTTTCTCCCCGGATGGTTGAAGTTCTAAGAAGATTTAAAAAAAACAAAAAACTTCCGTGATCAAAATTTAATTTGTGAATACGCTAATAAGATCAATGTTGTTGTTTTTTTTTTCCAATGAATGTTACATATATATGTGTTTGTATTTTATTTTTTCTTTTATTAGTATATTTTTTGCTCACCTGACGGGACTGATTTTTGTGGTGTCCATCCCTGGAACGTTGACCCCACTGTTGTACACTGGCAATTCCTCCAATTTAGTCCGCATCTTCCGGCGTTACGTCAGCACTATGCGTCACGTCCGGCAGTGGTATGAAGGCGACATCTGGAATCCAGAAGATCCTGCTTACAAGTCCATCACTTTGATTCGTCAAATGCACAACAAAGTAGCCAACAAAATGAATGCAGAAGATGTTGATACTACACAAAGTAATTGTGCAATGAAGCAAAGTGAAACCCTGTCGAGTTCACAACAGTCAGCGAAGATTCATATATCCCAGTATCACATGGTTTTGACGCAATTTTCATTCATTGGCTTTATAATAATGTTTCCACGTTTTATAGGCATTTACTGTTCCCGCGAAGATATGGAATGTTTCATTCACTTTTGGAGGGGTATCGGATATCAATTGGGCATTGATGACCGTTTTAATATCTGCTCTGGGAGCGTGGAAGAAACAGAAGCCTTCTGTCTGGAATTGAAAGAGAAGGTGCTGAAACCCTCAATTATATCTTCTGTACCCGAGTCTGAACGTATGAGCAAAGACATCATCAGAGCAATGAGCGTAGTAGTCCCTTTCTTGAACTGGACAGCCACCATGAGGTTCTGGTATGAAATCTTGGGTATTACTTTGCATTTTAAGTACTCGTTTTATGTTTCTATCTGTTACTGGCTTATGATTGTAACTCATCGGTTTCTGTTGAGGATTACCTTGCTCCGAATTTTCTTTAACTTTCTTGTTCGTATGTCGTATTGGAAAGCAATAAATTGGTCAGATAGTTTTGAAAAACTATTGGCTCAGAAAATGACCTGATTGTTCACTAAACATATATCGGGTATAGACCTTATAGTGATGAAAAAACCGTAATCCAGTCAACATGTCGATTCATCATTGTTTGATTCGTCTGTACTGGTCATGTATTACGTAGCACCTAGAAATAGGGACCTTCGTTCATCAATGTGCGCATCTTGAAAAGTAAGGAGTTAATTTGTATTTATTTCAGTTGGATCACTGATGATGAAACAATTTAGTTTGGACTTTTTTATTTTTTTACTGAATTTCAGAAGAACGAAGACAAAAGCGTGAAAAAGATGGTGGTCATCAAATACTTGAAGTAAGTTTTAAGAAAGAAATATTAATTGAGGAAGAACGTTCTCCTGATTCGAAAAATGAAAGAAAAATCAGTGCAATACATGCAACATTGTTTATTGGCGCCATTAATTTCTGAGAACTGCATGAAAACACTTGATCAAACAAATTGCACAGTTAACGTTTTTGAGTGGACGAATTAAATACCTGTTGTTTCTGACAATACTATGCCTTATTGTAAACTTTTGGGTTGTTTAAACCAATAAACAAAGAAACATAAATTTTCTAGAGGATAATTTCTTTCAAAATGTAATGTAGATCGTCAACTAAGAAATACAATAACAGCAACAAACCACCAATCTTCCCTTCAGTTATGTAGTGAGTTACTCGTAAGTAGTGAACAAAATATATAATGTAGTTTTGAATAATTATCTTGGATTATATATGTATCTACAGGGCCGTGCGCAGGAATTTAAAATTGACCGCTATTGGGGGGAGAGGGTGACGTTAAACAAATATCAATATATCAACACACACACACATATCATATGCATAGAAATAAATATCATTACATTCACTAAAATGACCGAGTTCGTATGCATAGAGTTATTGGGGGATGAGGGGGGGGGACGTAGTGCTTGTTCACGCTTCTGGTTGTCTAAAGGATATGGAAAATACAAACGTGCATAATATATTTTATGGTTTACTGTCTCTCCTGACCACCACGGGCCAAGTGTTTTATTTTTACTGTATTAACTTCAGGTTTATATCGTACAATTTATTTTACAAGTTCGGGTTTCCTGTAATCACGGAGAAGGGTTCGATTGTGTGTAACATCTAGCATTGTCATGGAGGGAAGAAATGGTCCGAATGAAACCTGAACTTTCCAAGTCAAAAATGTGTCCTAAACACCGATTAGGAACAATGGCCTTTTGTGTTAAAGAAGCAGAAATTTAGTTTTGTTTTTGAGGTTAGATAAACATGATATGTTTTTTTTGTGTTTTTTTTTTCAGTATAGTGGACACAGTGACATCCTGTGTATATGTTGTGTGGTTGACACACGCACACTCGTTACCAGATTAGCATGGTGAAATAAATCATTACATTGTAAACACTGTTAAACGTGGCGAGGAGTGTATTTATTTGGCAAACAGTATTTGTTAGTGTTGTGTAATCGTAAGTATGTGTTGCATAAAATTATTTTACACTTTGGTTAAGTGGCACGTCCCTCCCTCCAGTAGCTCAACAGCAATAGCTAGAGGGCTTATAAAGCACAGATAACTTATTGTAAGAAACAAACACTATTGCACATGTGTTGAGTTGCAAAAACGGTATCACACTTAGGTATTTCGTAAATATTTTGGTTGTTTATTCTTAGTAAATTATGTTTAAATATTAACTTAACAAAATTGCAAATATATTTAATTACTTGGATGTTAAATATTAATCAAAGTATTGTATATTACAAAAGCAAATTTGATTTTGTAGTAACCTTTTGTCTTCTTTTATTATATACGAGGTAAAGAAATGTGATAATATTGTTTTCCCAAGTAAATCAATCTTATTCTACACGGTAGTAGAATAAGAAACAAGGTTTCAAATCATATACACTTAAATTACGCCACTATCATCCCCACTACAGAGGATAAATTACACCGTGCTTTAATGCATAAAAGCATTTGCTGATCATTATCCTACAGCTTAAAACTATGTGAACACTGTTCCAACTTGCAATTATGCTCAGCTTCTCTGACGTGGTAAAACTGATATTTATATGTCAGTTGAGACAGTGGTTCAAATACTTTAACGCCCATATTAAAACTAATTTCATAGAAAACGTACTTATGTATTCGTTTATTATAACGCTACTGTTGAAATTAAGTGTATCGTAAAGTTGTATTCGGAAAGAATAAACCAGTTTTATTTAAGAAAGGACTTGTGTCGCTAACGTTTCGTCGGAACGAATTTACGGAAAAATTAACTAGCGAACGGAGACGTAACAGTATTAAATAACATAAACGTGAACATTAAGTTTTTAAAATCAAGATAGTTTGATTGACAGGATAATTTGTAATACTTTGATATCCATTGATTGTTAGCTTTTCTGATTATTTGCTTCATTTTCTTACTTATAATATTCCATATTTTAAAATAAGTAGTCCTTCTCAGGACTTCCCAGAAGACGGGAGTACGCGAAACATACGATAAAAACTAGTTAGGCAACGAATTATGACAACGATAAAATACAATGATTAAAACACGTGGTGTCATCAAGATTGGTATTTTGCTACTAGAAATGAGGCTACTACAGTTTTATACAGGAAGTGAAAAATAAAGAAATGACACATTGCATTGAAATATTACATATTGTTGGGTCGTTTGTTAATTCCCGGTATAAATTCTTTCCGAGGAACTTCAGCGATACAGGTCCTTTCTTAATTAAAACCAGTTTATTCTTTCTCGATACAACTTTGTAATACACAGAATTTCCACAGTCACTTTAAACTTAACTACTTTTATAAACACACGCTATAAATCACAGTGATTCACACACTTTACTTACGGTGCCCACTGTTCGCTTGACTCAATCATCTATCTCTTCAATTTATCTGCATATCTATCTATATATGCCATTGCGCTGGTTTTTCTCGCCAGGCTTGTATACTAAAAAGAGGGCGCCTCGAACAAACTAGAGTTGCCAGGAAAATTCATGATCCTTCCAGAAACTCCAGCGCGCGTGCTTCCAGAATCGCGTGACTTCCGCTGTCGTAACAATATGTTAAAGGCGATCCGTAAAAGCAGGTATTTGTATTGCTGGTTTTATCACATTTGTTATTAGAAAAGCGTATTGTTGTAACGTTGTTCTTTCTTTGCTGGATCTTTTAAATTATCGGGTGAAAATAATTCACATCCAGTTCACTTAGCGAGACAAGCCAGTTTATTTCCTCCTTTTAAACGTTTCTACAAGCTTAAACCACTTTTGAATTGACTTTGAAATGTTAGGCCTACGTTTACAAACGATATTATATCTCTAACAGTAGTATAATTCAAGTACAATAAGTACACTTCCTTGTACAAAGTAACGTGAAGACTCTTTAATCTCAACTAACTTTCAACTCAACTAATGCCCGGCATGGCCAGGTGTTTAGGGCGCTCGACTCGCATTCTGCGGGTCGCGGGTTCGAATCCCCGTCCCACCTAACATTCTCGCTGTGGGGGCGTTATATTGTGACAGTCAATCCCACTATTCGTTGGGAAAAGACTAGTCCAAGAGTTGGCGGTGGGTGGTGTTGACTAGCTGCCTTCCCCCTAGTCTTACACTCCTAAATTAGGGACGGCTAGCGCAGATAGCCCTCGTGTAGCTTTGCGTGAAACTCAAAACAAACTGTTGCGTCATCGAGGTCACGTGACTGGTGTGGCGCCATCTATTTTCTAGAACTATCCTGTACCTTGGCGAATGCTCTAGTATTTACTAGATATAGGGTAGCCTGGTATATAAAAGAGGGTGACAACGTGACGGGACTATAATGTGTGTGTAGGTAATGAGAGAGAC